ATATATATATGCGGTGCGGTTCGGTTTTTTGCGGTTTTCGCAAGACTAGAAACCGCACCCACCGCGCATTTTTGGTTTTTGCAAAACTAAAAACCGCACCATCGGTTTTCATTTCGGTGTCGGTTTTTCGGTTTCGGTTTATGCGGTTTTTTCAGTTTGCGGTTCGGTTTTTGCTCACCCCTAACAAGGATCGTATAAATTGATTAAATTTCTACTTCATTCATTGTTTTTTTAATAAAAAAGCTTTTACATTTTTTCTTTATATTTCTTTTGATTTGGCATTTTTAACACGTTTGTTAGTAATATTTCAGTTTTACACGATTTTTTTTCCAAAACCCTTAAACTTTTTTTTTCCCGAAAAAACCTTCACAATAGGCAAAACTTTTTGTTTGGATCAACTTTTTTGTGTTGGCTCACAAATGCTCTTTTTCATGTTGTTGATGTTTATGGTGTTAGTAGTTTTAAATATTAAAATTTGAAGGATACATTTGATTTTTTTCAAAACAAATAGAATGGATGTTTTGTTTAATTTTTGTTGGTAAAATACCTATATCAAAATCTATATACAAGATGCTCAAAGATTGTAGCAAATGAAGAACAATAGTCTAAGCTGACTTGGTATCTTAGATCACTAAGACTTTAAAATTCGCCTCTATTTGATTTTTAAAATAAAATAAGATGACAAGCTTAGACCGTTGGTCTTTACCTTTTACAATCTCAATCTCTGAGTATTATGTAAATAGAATTTGATATGTATTTTGCCAACAAAAATCAAATATGTGTTTATGTATTTTGCCAACAAAAATCAAATATGTGTTTATGTATTTTGCCAACAAAAATCAAATATGTGTTTATGCATTTTGTCAACAAGAATCGGACATGCCGAGCCAACTTAGGGCGCTTGTCTTCACTTGCTATAATCCTCTAACCCCTAATCATAAGCACTAATCACTAAAACCTAAGTCGTAAACCCTAAACCTATAATTGCTTAGCCATAACTCATAAGCCCTAAGCCCTAAGCCCTAAACCTTAAGACCATAAGCCATAAACCATATGTCATATGCCATACACCATAAGCTCTAAGCCAAAAGATATAAGTCCTAAGCCTTAATCCTTAAGCCTTTAAGCCTGAAACCCCAATCCATAAGACATAAACTCTAAGCCCAAAACCAGAAGCCCTATGTCATAAGCCATAAGAAATAAGCCCCAAGTCATAAACCATATATTATAAGTTATACCTTGAGTCCTAAACTCTAAGCCTTAATCTATAACCATGAGTGATCTAAGATACCAAGCCTACATAGACTGTTGTCTAAGATACCAAGTCAGTTTAAATTGTTGTTCTTTACCTGCTACAACCTCCAAGTATCATTTAAATAAATTTTGATATGTATTTTGCCAAAAAATGAGACACGACATCCTTTCTTTTTGTTTTCAAAACATCAAATGTCTCCTTAAATTTTAATGTTAATAAACACTATCATTAACACAATAAACACCACCAACATAAAAAACAAAGGAGTTGTGAGTCAAAACAAAAGGTTTGCTAAACGTGACAGATATTTCGAAAAAAAGATTGACTAGGGATGTCACCAGGGGCAAACGGGACGTGGAGTGTATCCCTTGCCCCCGCCCCCATAATTTCACCATTCTCCCGCCCCCGCCCCCGAATCCCCCTTATTACCCCTGCCCCAACCCTCGTTCCCCCGCCCCCGATTAATGTTGGGTTGCCTATTTTTAGGCTAAAAGAAACTATTTTTTAGGTAACAAATATTTATTTATAGCAAACTTTTACATATTAAAAACAAAAAAAGAAGTTATGGCATCTTAAAAACATTTACTAACAACTTAAAAACATGTTTTTTTGTTGAATTTTGGAAGCTCAAAATCATGTTATTGTTTATTATATTTATATAATTAATATATGTAAATATATGTATAACTTATTAACGGGGACCCCTAGGGTTTCGGGACGGGACTGCCCACCCCTGCCTCTGCTCCCGAAATTTTAACGGGGGTTAATCTTGCCCCCGCCCACGATTTTTTTTAATAAATATCTTCAAACGGGACGGGTCCCCCATGAGAACGGGGTCCCAGGAGACTTTTTGACATCTTTAAGATTGACAACTTTTTTCAAAAAAAAAAGTTGGTTTTTTTTAATTTCTTTTTTGTGAAATTTTTATCAAAAAATTATGTAAAACACAACGATTACTAATATACATGCTAAAATTGTCACATCTAAAGAGTCACTTCTCTAAAGCATGATGATAATTGTATTGTGGAAGTGAATATTTCCACAATTCTAGAAGGTATATCTTTTGAATTTGAAGGGCAAGGGGGAATAAATTGCATAACACTAGTAATATGCTTGGCGTCTCAAATTGTTCAACCATTAAGACTTCTTTTTTGTATGTTTGATCTCTGTTTTGTAAGAAAACATAATTTGCAAGTAAGACCTTGTATGTTTGACTCCAATAGAAGAAATAAAAAAGAAAAACATAATTTGATCCGTTGTATGTTTGACTTCTTTTTGTAGTTAGTATTTGATCCTTTGTATGTTTGACTTCTTTTTTGTAGCTAGTATTTTTGCTTTTATAAAACCTTTGGTTGTTCGAAAAATAAGTATTCTAACAAAAATAATTTGTAAATAATACCTGCTAATGGTGATTTTATTAAATCATTTTGCAAATTCAAAGATACTTTTGCAAAATTCATTTTATAAAGCATATGGTTATTTTGTAATATATTCCTAAAAGAAATGGCAATTTCATGGTATATGATAGATTCCTTCAAAAATTGACAATTTCATGTTATGTCACTTTTATATTATAATGATTTACATACTTGTTAATTGTTAGTTGTTGATACTGTTGTTACACCAACTCCATTGTCATTGTTAACTACTTGACTTTGCTTTTAAATAATTGCAGTGATCAAAATAGGGAAGTGTTAAAGTTAAGGGACTAAGGTTGTAAATAATCCAAACCAACAGCCAAAAACAACCAAATTGTCAACTATCAGTAGGCGGAGCTGATCGATCATCGACTGCTAAATCTATTCACTATAGGAACCCACCACCATCATCGCCGCCGCCGCCGCCGCTGTCGCCGTGCATCCGCCACCAGCAGTGTATGATTGATTTCGTCGGCTCCGATGTCGCTCTTGAACCAAATCTTCAATAGGGGACTTATTGGCGCAAAATGGTCAGTTAGTCGACCCTCTTTCCCAATTCTTAATTCCTAAAGATTCTTGCAATTTACCTTAGGTTTTCCATTTCTATGTCAACTCGACAACTCCAATTTCTTGCTTACATACCCTCAAAATTTCTGATGTTCTTTCGATCATCGAATCTGAAAATCCAAGCCCAGAATCTGTTCTATTTTTACGATCAAGTTCAAAATTTACGAACACGTTCCGACTTTTATGGTCAATAATTTCACCTCCCGAATCCAAAATTGATCTGGATTTATCTCAGATCTAATAAATAAAGAATCTTATAGTAGTCGATGAACTAGAATAGCATAAAAATGGCTTCAATTTTTCGAAGTAAGAACACAATCAAGAGATTTTGTATACATTTCATGAACAATTGCCGATATTGGGTGTTATTGCAGTAAAACATGCCTAACTTTGGCAATATCACGGATTAAATTACTTCAAAATAAGAGAGACATGCAATTGAAGCTTATGCGCAAGGAAATAGCACAATTTCTTCAATCTGGGCAAGAACCAATTGCTAGAATACGGGTATGTTCATAACTTTTTGTTAAATTTTTTCGGTTTTCACCTTTCATGTTAAGAAATTGATTCTAATCGTTTAGGTGGAACATGTTATAAGAGAACAAAATATCTGGGCTGCATATGAGATCTTGGAAATGTTCTGTGAGTTTGTTCTTGCAAGAGTTCCAATTATCGAAAGCCAGAGGTAAAATTACATTTATGCATGTCACCTATGATTATTAGGTAACTTGAAAGAAGACTAATTGTTTTCCAAATGAACGTGAAGATTGTTTAATTGTGAATTGAATTGCTCATATAAACAAAATTATGAATCGAACAATCTGTTAAAGTTTTCCACTTTTCCAGTTTGTTAACCATAATCACTGAATTTACAAACACTTGCATTTGTAATGTTTATAATAAGGGTAAAATGGTCATTTTGACTTGTTCAGACGGTTTAAAACATAAAGTTAACTTTATATATACAACACTTTATCCAGATAAACATCATTACACATTCAGCCACTTTACCCTTAGGATTGAATGAACTCTCTGAGTGAGTAAATGACCATTTTGCCCTTTTGTTTAAAACAGGGAATGTCCATTGGAATTGAAGGAAGCAGTTGCAAGCATAATCTTTGCATCTCCAAGATGCTCAGATTTACCAGATTTATTAACTGTTAGAAATTTATTTACCACAAAATATGGAAAAGATTTCATATCAGCTGCCTCTGAGCTTCGCCCTGATACTAGTGTCAATCGTACAGTTAATACAATCTACTTTTCATTATTTATTTATTTATTTTAACACTTTCTTATACATTAATTTTCCGTTTGTTTTAGATAATTGAAAAACTTTCCGTTTATACCCCTTCGGGTGACATGAAGCTCAGTGTCTTGAAGGAAATCGCTCAAGAGTACAATATCTCATGGGATTCTTCTAAAACCGAAGCCGAATTCAACAAAAGGCCTGAGGATCTTTTGGTAATTTCATCTTTCTCTAATGTGTTTCTGAAATAAAATGATATATTATTGTTATAAAATTCTTAATGTTAGTAAAAAGGGGTTAATCTAAAAAAAGACCTTATATTTTGTGTTTTTTTCCTGAAAAAGGCCTTGTATTTTTCATTTTTTCCGATCTGGCCTTTTGTCATTTTTTTTCCAAAAAAATTGTAAAGTGAGGGTTTTTTCGACAAAAGCTACAAAAGTTGAGGGTTTATTTGGAAGCATTTTAGAAGGTTGAGGGGTTTTTTTTGGAAAAAAAAACACAAAGTTGAAGGCTTTTTCGGAAAAAATGAAAAAATACAAGGTCTTTATCAGGCAAAAAATAAATGTGAGGTTTAATCCGGAAAAAACACAAAATATAAGGTCTTTTACAAGATTAACCCTTATAAAAATTTCAAAACTTCAATAATTTTTTCTAATTTTCCAAAAAAAAAAAAAACTAAAAATAGTTTTTTCTTATAATTCTATATCAAGATTCCATGGTGTTTACATTTTTTTTTTTGCAAACAATTTTTTAAATGATAAATAATTTATTTCGACTATTTGCAATACATGTAGTATATATTTCAAAGGACATGAAATATGTGTATATCTTTATTTAATTAAAGTTTATTTTTATGAAAGTAACGTTTTTTCTTCATTTATCAAATTAACTTTATTTGTTCTTCTAATTATACATTACAGAAGTGTCTGAATGAGTCATTTCAATTAACTTTATCTATCGAATGTAATGTTCTGTTCCATTACTTATCTCATTCCATTCCATTCATTTGTGATTCCATTCCATCATACCAAACAAACAGATTCTTAACGAGTTAATAATATTTAAAATGTTAATTTGTAGAATGGACCAAAGCAAATATCAAATGTGACTACAAAACTCCCTGAAAGTCATAAAGAATCCCCTAAAGCTGCAAATCATGTCCCCATTAAACCTCCAACAAATACTGCAAACTCAAATCCCACCAAAGTAAATCAATCATCAGTGGAGGGCAAAATGGTAATTCCGGTTTCATCAGAATCAAATGATGTCTTGGAGAGAGCTCGAGCTGCCATTGCTGCTGCGGATCGCGCATCGGCTGCTGCTCGGGCTGCTGCTGAATTGGTTAATGTTAATTTTAACTCGCGTACGTTACAAGGGGCAAATAGGTAATTATACTTAAGTTTATGATGACAAAATGTAAACTTTTTTTTTTCTTTTTCTTTTTTGTTTGATGTGGAATGAATGTTGAGTGGTTTTGTACTTTTGTTTTGATAGATGGGAATGAAAAGTTTGATAAGATTTTATTTGCTAAAGTTGTGAAAATGGACTTGTTAATATAGATATAACAAAAAATATTGGGGTTCTACTTTCTTTTTATCTTTTTTGAATTTTTATCATATACTTTGAAATCTTTACTTGCTTTTCAAGCAACATGTACAATGTGTTTTGAACTTTGAACATTTATTTGTACATATAATTGTAGAAATAGAGCATGTGGTTTTTCGAAAAGTCTCTAAGTTGAAGACAACTTTGTATTTTTGGAAAGTCATTGTGGTTCTGTTTCATTGCAAATTTGGTTGCATCTATAGTTTTATTTTGTTTCATTTTTTATATAACATTACTATTTTGCCCTTGGTTTGATTATTTATTGATATGTATTAATTATATTAAAAATTTATACCATACTTAATACCCTTCCTTCCTCTTAAAGTCATTAAAGGAAGTTTGCTTTGGAGGTGATGCATTTAACCCCATTTTCTTAGGGATCACAATTAGCCCATCGTTACCTTTGTTAAAAATAATGTGCAAGATATAAATAAATTGCTATACTCTTAAATCTTAATTATATGAGATTATGAGATTATACTATAAAAAATAGAAGATTCAGAATAAATAATAATATTTATATGATAAATTTATTAAATATCAACTTAAATAAATAAATAAATAAATATGTTTGTTTATTATTTACTAGATAAAAAGGTAAAATAAAATAATTATTTATGCCATATATTAATCATGAGATCATGGACTAACAATATTGGTAGTGCTTTGGAAGCCTCAACCAACATCAAATAAAAGAAAATTTTGGTAAGAAAGTAAAAAAAAATCATATACATATTTTTTTTAGCAAACCAACAAAATGAATCATTAGATGAATTAAAATTAAAACGATTCATAAGAAAAATTCAAAAAAAAAAAAACACATTCATGATTCACTTTTAAGTAAATCAAGAAAAAAAATTCATTTTTTATGACAATTTTAGTTAATAAAAACAAAATCATCATAAAAACTAGAAAAGATTCCCCGGCGTTGCCGGGGTCGGAAGGTATTGCTTTGTAAAGTAAAGTAGCATGTTGGTTGCTTTTTGTCCGTTAATGTGAGGGTAATTTGATCTGTCAGGTAGTAGGGACTGAATTTGTCACCATGGGTAAACCATATGGACCATTTATGTAATTTTGGCGGTGGTGGTGATGGCAGATGGTGGGTGGGTTTATGGTATTGGGTGGATATTTTATAATAAATAAAACATTAATTTAAAACCAAAAAGAGAATGTTAAATCTGGTAAACCACAGGGACCAATCGTGTAATTTTGTCTAACAATAATAATAATAATAATAATGAGGGACCATTTCTGCCAAAAAACTAAATACTAATAATATGTAATAAAAGGCGAGTGTTATGAAAAATTCAAACCAAAGTGAAATGGTTGTTTGTGAACAAAAGCATAAAGATAAATGGTCAATGTTGTAAGTTGGAGGACCAAAATTGACAAAAAAGGTGTCATTTACTGTTAAAACTTTTCATAACTTTAATATATATATAATAATGAATCATAGAGATGTTTTTTCGGGATTATTATTATTATTTTTTTGAATCATGTTATTTTTGATTCATCTAGTGATTCGTTTGTTTTGTTTGTCAAAAAAAAATATATATAAAAAAATTTCTTACTTTCCTACCAAAAATTTCCGAATCTATATCCTTGACCTTGGAAGCCTTACCCAATGGGAACTGTAATTCCACATACTATTTTTTATTCATCCACATATTTTTAAGGAAAATGACAATTATACCCCTAGTGTAATTAACAATTTAAAAACATGTGCTTAATAGTGTCTTCTAGCCCCGGTTCCCAATTCTGTTCATCACAACATGACATCCTTGTATTCTTCTTCATTTCTTTTCTTCTTCACTTCCACATAGAGAAGGTAGGAACAACCACAAATGGAATCATAACTGATAATCCAACGATTAGTTTCATTCCAAGTCTTGCCATTATCTTTTCCATCATTGGATATGGGCTCCTTAATGTTGGTGGATGGTGGTTTTCACAAAGCTTTAAATCAGATATTGAAATCCCAAAATATCACCGCTAAAGTTTCTTGGACCCAGATCCCGTTTGAAAATGTATCAAACTTCGCTGCAACAAATGGGGTACTGACATTTGCATAACCGTTTACAGACAGCCCCATCGACGAGAACCACTTAATCATTGAATTATCTCAGGTTAGCAAGAATGTGAACCAATCACCAAAATCTAGGAACAATTTTGAATCGACGGCGATGGAAAAATCGATGGTGAAAGCTTGTTAACTCACCGAAGAACTTATCACATAGATAAAATGGTTTGATGTATCGTCTATCCCGCTGTTTGTTCCGATTTGAATCGATCTCGTTTTGTGTGACTGGGATTTCGTCATTGACGATATATGTAAAACCTGTTGTGTTTATGTTCATGTATTGGTTTTGTGTACTGATTTTTATCAGATTAAAGGTGATTGAAGATACAACAAGGATGAACAAAGAATGGATGATGAGATACCATGATTGTGGGAATCTTGATATACCACCGAGTATCGACGGAATAAAGAAAAAAGACAACCACGAAAATATGAAAGAGAAATTAGGCCTAATTAATTAGATTATCAAATATAAATGAGGGGGATTCTTGTCATTTTCCCATAAAAATCTGTGGATGAATAAAAACAGTTGTGGAAGTATCAACCCCTTACCCAATAGTAAATATATTTAAAGTAAGGATTATGATCATTAAGGAAATAAACAATATATCACCAAAACAATAACCTCTCTCTCTCTCTCTCTCTCTCTCTCTCTCTCTCTCTCTCTCTCTCTCTCTCTCTCTCTCTCATTTAAGTTCGACGACAAAAAGAACAAGGAAGAACCGTTGAGCATTCTTTGATCAAGTTGACCGAGGTTTGCAAATGTTTAAAACAATGTCTTCGTTTGAAAATTGGTTTCTTTTAATTGTTTAAATATTCAATCAAATCACAACAGTGATAATTTAGACAGTATTATGACTTAATTATTGCATCTTGGTAGTTTTTCCTTCACATTCTTGAATATCTATCAAAATATTATAACAAATGTTTTAACGGTTTGTATACAATTTTATTTTAGATTTTATTAACTTACATGCAAAAATCAATAAATCAAACCATTAAAATGTTCATTGAGATCAATGCGTTGTTTTTTGCCTAAATAGTTTGTGTTTGAATCTTATTGTTTTTTTCTTGGTTTGTTTATCGTTTAAATTTATGATTGTTTGTTTTAATTATTTTTAAAAAATGTTTATACATAATACCATATGACAAATATCATTTATCTTTAATTTTCCCTTTGTTTTAGATAATTGAAAAACTTTCCGTTTATACCCCTTCGGGGGTGACATGAAGCTCAATGTCTTGAAGGAAATTGCTCAAGAGTACAACATCTCATGGGATTCTTCTAAAACCGAAGCCGAATTCAACAAAAAGCTGGAGGATCTTTTGGTAATTTCATCTTTCTCTCATGTGTTTCTGAAATAAAATGATATATTATTATTATATAATTCTTAATGTTATAAAAAAGGGGGTTAATCTAAAAAAATACCTTATATTTTATGTTTTTTCTAGATTAAACGTCAATATTTTTTGCCTGAAAAAGACCTTGTATTTTTTTTCGATCCGGCCCTTTTAGTCATTTTTTTTCCCAAAAAAATTGTAAAATGCGAGTTTTTTTTTGTGCGAATGACATAAAAGCCCTTAAGTTTTCCAAAAATTGTCGGTTTTACCATTGGATGAGTTTTTGGGTTAATAAAGTCGGATACTTTCATTAAATGGTGCATTTATTGAGTTTGAGCCGGTGAACAAGTTGTAACCGGTAACCCTTTAGAGTTTAGAGAAGTGGCATTTAACTGACGAGTTGACAAACGATGTTAATGAGATAATGTCCGTTTATCTGGAGAAACGAACCCATCACCTTACCATCACCTTTTAGCATGTAAATGTACACCTTCACTCAGAAACGTTCAGATAATCGACCTCATTCATCTCAAATTAAGGGGTTTTTGAAGGAGATTAAGGTTCAGTTACAGGGTAAAGGTGTTCTAAAAGGTGCAATTTGAGGTTATCCGAGAATCGATTTCACAGGGTAAGTTGTTACAGTTCATATTTAATCTTTTTGTTCTTGAGAGGTGAACATTAATGTGTTTGTGGCTTTTCAGGTTCTTGTGATGAATTGGGATTCAGAAGACGAAGGCAGCACAAACCCATTTTCTGGTTTACGTGAGCCTTTCTCTGGTCTTAATGAGATGGATTTTGAGCTTCATGGAATATACATGGATCATGAATCAGAGCAAGAGTTCGTTACTCCACTAGACAAGTGTAAGGACGTATTTCTTAATGTGCTACAAACTGATGAAAGACTTAGAAACTCTAGTTTGGATGATGAAGTAAGAACACAAGTGTATCATGGGAATGATTGGCAAAGTGATCAAGAAGAGCAAGAGCAGGTGAAAAACAAGTACATAATACATTATCCAAAAACAAGATGGGACAAAATGGAACCAAAGCTTGGTAACATTTTTTAGACTGTTACACAGCTGAAGTTTTGTATCCAAAACTATGCAGTCCACAATATGTATCAACTTTACTTTGAAAAGTGTGACAGTAATAGAATAGTTGTAAGATGTGGGAACAAATGAGAATAATGCTTGCCCTTTTAGAGTGTATGCCTCATGGATGTTCAATGAAAGATCTATTCAGATACAGAGTTTAGAAGTTACTCATGTTTGTGGTAGGAAGTTTAAACTTGGCTCCATGGTTACTCCTAAATGGATAGGTAGACACTACATAACTGAATGTAACACATGTTCCATATTGATTAATTTATATCATTTTAAGGGTTTTGTGCATGGACTCGGCGAGTTGGGGTGCTCCAACTCGTCGAGTAGAGACTGTTAGGGGACGCGGGGTTTGGGTCCTACTCGACGAGTCGGAAGTCCCCGACTCGACGAGTAGGAGCTGTAAAGAGAAACCCTAATTTTTAGGGTTTGCACCCTATTTAAGGAGCATAACCCGCCTCTTGTGGCCTCCCTTATCACCCTTTTAGCCAGAGAGAACCCTATTTCGACCTTGCATCTTCTTGAGTGAGAGTGAGAGCTTTTGTGAGTGATTTTGGGGTATTTGTGAAGGATTCTAGAGCTTGAAGAGGGAGGAGCAAGGAGAGGAGCAGTAGATCCGACATCTACTCTGCCTTGGCCATTGTTTTGAGGTATAAAGTTGTCACCTTGATCTCTAGTTGATTAGATCCCTTTTCTTGGAAGTAAATGGCCATTTTTGGTGCAAAATGAATTCAAACTTGGATCTGGACTTATCACAACGATATGGTTCCACATCTGGACCTCTCTAGGTCCCCAATGACATAAAGTTGCTCACTTTATGCAGCCTAGCCCCTTTCCATGCACAAAAACATTGTAGGAAGCCTAGTTTTGGTGTTATGGCCTTGAAGGGCCTTGCATGCACGTAAAGTTTGCAACTTTACGTGGTATCTGTACTAAGGGAGTTTAGATCTGGAGTTTGGGACCTTAGATCCCACTATAAAGGGCTGAACTTGGAAAGGACTGAAGGAACTCGTCGCGTCCCTTAGCTGACTCGACGAGTCGGTGTAGGGTTTGCCGTTTTTGAGTTTCTGGATCAGTGCAGTGAAGGATTAGGGTTTTGGTCCGTTTAGACATTAGTTTTTTGGACATATGATGAACTCGACGAGTCACTAGGGTGACTCGGCGAGTCGAGGCGGGATTCAGTGGAATGGACTCGGGAGGAACTCGACGAGTTACAAAGGTAACTAGTCGATTTAACGAGTCATACAGCTAACTCGACGAGTTGCTGGATGCACTCGACGAGTTGAGGTCAACAGGGACTGTTGGCCTTGACTGTTGACCTTGACTTTGACCAAGGTTGACTTGGAGGGCAATTATGGGATTATGACAAGTTAATCACATGTTAGTTATAGGCAGTTTAGGAAGAGCGGTGCGTGGGACATACCTGATTCTAGCTTGTCAGTTCAACGTTCGAAAGGTGAGTCTTCTCACCATACCAATGGGTCTAAGGCACCAAGGCCAACCCATTTTATGTTATGTGGATTGTTGATTGATTATGCGTTATGTTAGTATGACTTTTGCATGGAAGACACCGGGGGGCTCCCATGGCAGTAGTCTGAGACCACGTGGGGGTTCCCGTGGCATTTGGTATAAGACCTTGGAGGGTTTCCATGACATCCTAGTATATCTGCATGTATAGTTTGCATTATGTCTTGTTTGGTAGTGAAGACCTTGTGGGGGTTCCCAAGGCAGGAAGACCATGTGGGGGTTCCCATGACAGGCAGTTAAGACCATGTGGGGGTTCCATTGGCACTAGGTGTAAGACCATGGAGGGTTTCCATGGCTTCCTTATATGTTGTATGCATGGCTTATGTGATATATGTAGCTGTTATAGCTAACTTGATATGTG